CAGGGGTCCCCCCCCCCCCAAAAAAAAACCCCCCCCCCCCCCCAAAAAAAAACACGCTCAAGTAGTTAAAAATCACCTCAAACCACAATTCGTCGGGAAAAAAGAAAAATATTATGGCTACTAGGCTCCTATGCCTGGCAGACTCTAAAAATTGATTAATGATAAGCCTTTGAAACCCCGAAAGTGTAATTTTTCCGAACACTTTCAAAAGAATATGAGCGACACCTGACCACGCTCACTTTGCTCTCGTCGGCGGGGTCATGAGTCCTGTCGGGGATATTTTCCTGGTCGGGGACCTCCCCCCACCCCCCTCGAGTGTCTCCACCCTGCCGGCTCAAATCACCTTTTTGCAGCGCCCTCACCTAATCATCGATCCCCACAACGCCAACATCTGTGGCTTCTGCCAGTGCAATCAGGCACCCCATTTCAACACAGGGGGAGGGGACCCCTCTCAACCCCTTCTCCCAGCTCGAGCCTACGAGATCAAGTCCCCCTGTCGGACAACTTAGCCCTCCCCCCAGAAAATATATCCTAGAGCAAAGTTTGAATTATTCGCCAACGTTAAAAAAAATAATTTTGTACTGGTTTATTCCCGGATCTATTGCGGTTATAAAAGATGGTACCAGCCATCATACTGCTGCCGTCTGCACTATGCGAAAGTTCAAACAATGGACACGCCCTTGTGCTTCCAAACCATTGACGACGATAGACGATAAGCTAGATTGAGCGCATGTACAGTAGTGTAATGCGTTTGTAATCATATAGATATGGCGCATAGTGTTTGGATGTTTCGATGTGCCGTAAATAAACTCTACTGGTATACATAATTATTTAGTTGTGATGTGCAATCCTTGCAACAATGCGGTTAGACTCAACAGCAGCAATGCTAAAAAGAGCCCGGAATAAATGTGTGCATATCGTCCCCGAATGTGGCAGAATGCTGAAGTCGAAGCTACAATCAGCCAGCTCCATGCTGAAATCATCGCTGCAATATGCGTATGCCCGTGGTTACAACGCTAAACTGGTTTGTAATGCAGCTTACGCTGGAGCTATTGTTTTATTTCTCATAGGATCACTGAGTCCACGACTGCCTAAGTTTTCATTTCCTTTCGCTGGAAATTTTTTTCCTGCAAAGACGAAATTCGGGAAGATAAAGCCCCCACGCACCGTCCTAGCACATCTATTTTGTATACATTTTATGCGGAGGATTTTAGAGGTGTTATTTGTGCACAAATTCAAGCGGGAATTTCATATCATGGAAACCGTAATCGGACCTGTATTTTGCTGGATATTCTCACTCTGGATAGCTGTGTCTATTCGCCCAGCTGCAGGGTATGTTAATACCAGTGTAAATATTTATACACTTGGAATTGTTCTATTCATCCTTGGAGAATTCCTCAGTGCTTTTTGCTACTTATATTCATATTGCAATTTGGGCCAAAGATTCTGCGAGGTTTTTTCAAGAATACTTCCATTAAAAGAGTTACCTGGAGGGATTCTATACCCGTTTGAATCATGTTGTCATTTAACTTTGGAGACGCTTTCGTGGTTTGGGTTTTTTGTTGCGACTGGAACACTTTCTTCGTTGTTGTTTTTCCTCTGCAATGTTGCTGTTGTTTTGATATATTTAATCAAATGCTACAGAGAGCAGTCAAATGAAATCAAGAAGAAGGTTGTTAATGGTACTATTATTCCTATTAATAATAAAGAGGGTATTTCACATCTTGAATGTTAATTTAATTTCCCGTGCCTGCCTGCATATTTTCACTTACAAAAATGAAAATAAAAAATGCCTGTATTCGCGAATTTGCTGCATTTTATTTTTATTACGTTTTTAAGAAGCATTGAACAATCCAATTGAATTCTTTACATCATCCAAAAGTGCATGCTTAATAAGTATATTAATTAGTTTGAAACGTTAGTATACTTCACACAGCAGTTGATTGAAAAGGCCTACAGTAGGATTACATTTGATATTGTCAACATCTCTGTCAAAATCGGCTTTAAAGAAGTTTAAAATAATTAACTTAAAATATTATATTATTATTAACACTATCAGCAACGTGGACATTTCATGTGAGCCGTTTTATGTCCATAAGCTAGTATAACTAAGTAGAACATTTGTTTATATTTTCTGGCACCATTATTTTTTAGATAGACCTATTGCAAATTTTTTAGAGAGGATCTTATTTTGGTTTTTAGTAATGACTAAATTCTTTAAAGTAAATTTGTTTTATTTTTAAAAACTAACATATATCAAAATCAATGAATGCAAAATGCAGGCACTGGGCTACAATTAAGTTTTTATCTTATTTCTAAACAGTGTGTTCAATGTTTCAACTACAAGTTAAATTTCAATATTTAAAAAAAGAATACTTAATATTTCATGTGGGTTCATTTTTTAAAATAGATTATTTATAAGTTATAATAATAATTTATATTTGTGAGAACATATACCCTGCAATACTGGCTGGTCAATTTCCACACGCACACCCCCCCCCCCACACCCCCAATCTTCCCAACTTCCAAGAAACAATGTACAGTAGGAACCAAAGTTTAGAGTTTTGTAAGAGGAAGTTTATTGAGTAAATCACAAGAACTGTTTGATTTTATTCACAATTAAATAACATCCTATTTTAATATGTCACTACTGATTGTCTTTCTATCATGTTTATAATATTTTTTTTTAATCTTCCTTTTTTGTAATACCTTTAGTTATTTTCTAGCTACAGTATATATTTAAAATAACAATAAGAAAAATGCAGTATAAAGGGTTTATTTTTAGTTCTGAAACTGAATTTCTTTTAATAACTGATGGCAAAAATGATGTTTTCTAAAGAAAATGTATTCTTGCTTTTTTTTAAGCTAAATGTTTTGTATTTCCTATTGTGTACTGTATTATATGTACTGTAATTAAATTTTGATTAAGTTGGTAATTTAAAATTTTATACATCATTATGAATACTGTATATTCTCGCATAAAGAGGAGGCTTAAAATAGCAAATTATGATATAAAAAAAAACAAGTTTTGTCTTTTTTTTTAAATCTTGTTTGTCTACTGTAGCAATTTTACTACTGAAATGAAGCTAATAACTCTTAGCATGAATGAACGCAATCTTAAATGCGGGGAAATAAAATTTTGATGAGCATTTAAAAGCTTATAAAATGGTATTATTTTGAAGATTAGGCTCTATATTTGGATATGTTTTGAGTCTCTTGGATGTACAGTATCAAGACCATAAAGAGACAGCAAAAAGTAGGAATTCTGACGGTGAAACAGGGGGTCGTCTTATACACAAAAAAATCAAAAAAATATACACCAAAAATCTTCTAAAACTCGGGGGTCGTCTTATACGAGGATCATCTTATATGTGAGAATATATAACTAATTTTTAATTTAGAAACAGGCTTTAAGAGGCTGTACTTGCCTGTTAGGATCCATTTTAAATTCCCATTGGAAAGTTTCTAACTCAAAATGTACTTACAATATTATTTTTCACATTTTTTTTTTATTTTTTTTTTTAAATAAATCAATGCAGTGAAACTGACTGAAATATTATTTAGATAGATACAGGGGACTTAAGTTTTGGAAGAATCTACTTCTCTCCAAGAGATCTAATACAGTATCCTTTGTCTTAACACATTCAGTTTTGTTTTGCTGGGCATGGTGATACCCATCGCCAACTGATACACTAAAAGCATACAAATATCGGTTTTTTGCTTGCTTGTGAGAGTGTTGGGGCATTCCAATCTTGTGGAGACTTCCCCCGACTTGGTGGAGTCTTGAGACCCCTGTAGCTATAAGATAGAAAACTCTGTATACTGGACACTTAATTTTGTGATAATAAAATTGTTCTTTTTTAAGGTGCAGTTAAATATAATACAATGTATTTAAAAAAAAGTAGTAATTATTAACCAATCATTCCCTGAATCCAGTTCCAATCTGAATTGTCCTCAGCACGGTCTACAGCACTTGTGATAAGGATACTACTGTTTGATTACTAGGAAATCAGTATGACGCAGCAGGATGAGATTTTGTCTAATGAAGTGAAGTGTATATGGGAAAAAAAGAAATCTTTGTGTTGCCCAAGCCCAACCGACCAAATGTTCCAAGAGTCGGCTTTATTTTAGCAAAAAACTATTTTTTACCAAAGATCAATATATTGTACTTATGTTCTTATGCCAATTTGATAACTAACAATGTATTTTGTCAACAAAAATGCATGTAGTGAATGATGGTTGGCAAAGTGTTAGACCTATTAAGAAAAAAACACAGATGATCTGTGGAAAAAAAATAAACAAAAAGTTCTGACCTATCAACCTACTGTATGACTTCTAAATGGCACTGCTTCAGCAACACAACATTTTTGTTTTAACTAGTACACTGCTGATAGATGTAATCTGACTGTAACTGAAATAACATTTAAAATAATTTTAAGTTATGAATGTATATTAGAACAAAAATATATAAGTTTATTAAAGTTTATTTAAGTATTATTTACTGCATATTTGACTTGACTATTTTATTTCATGAAGTTAATTTGCTTTCTTACTGTGCTGTCAATGGTAACTATGCAGTGGTTTTGAAATGGAGGGACTGATGGGGAGGCATGAATGTGAAGTGGGTGGCCCTCGATGATTAAGTGAGGAGGGTGCTAGGTTGCGAAATAGGGTGATATTGGTTGATTTTTAACTACTAGAGCATAATTTTTTTTTTTAATGTTTAATGGTGGGTTGAAACTGGGGATGTGAGCTTTTTATTTGTAGAGTGTGCACTCCCTACATATGCCAAGGTCACTCTGTACAGTTTGTAGGGCCTACTGGAAGCAGAGTTGCTAAATATTTTTTTAAACGTTATATTTTCACCTTGATTTTCCTTGTCATTATTTTCTATGTGTTAAATTTATCATGTTAGACTAAAAAAAAAATGTTCCTCCAGCCAGATGGACTGACCTATCATCTCAAAAATATAGAGTACCTGTAAATGGACTGTAGCTCTGGTGATTACCATTTTACCAAGCAGCATGCATGGTGTACAATAACCGATGAATAACAAAGAGCAAAGAGTATTATAAGCCTATACTTGTAAATGAATAATACTAATAGTTCCTGGGGAAATAACACTTTTTTGCCCTTATCAAAATAATAATTTCAAATTTGTGGATCACAGACTACAAAATTGTAGCTCCCTTCCCCCTCACCACCCCAATCTTCTGTGTGACCTTTTTCAAAGTCTGATCTGCCAGACTTTCCAAAGAGCAAACTGATTATCTTTGTACTGTCTGTGTGTTTTCCTACTGAATCACATGCTGGTTTCCTAATAATACCAGTAGGAGCTAATATGAATGTTCTATCCATATGGGACGTCATATTATTCAACAGTAATACACAATATATAGTGAATAATTCTGCTTGATCTATATCGGTAATAATTACCAGTAGTGGTAATACAGTATCAATGATATCAGTATATATATATATATATGTATATTGTGGGTGTGTATGCGTAAGGATGAATGAAATATTCATATGAACAATACTTCGCCCATGTTTGTATAGATTTGACCTGGCAGGAAGATGTAGCAGCTGTATCACGGGACTTTGCAATCGTTTCCCTTCTATTGTTTTTAACTGCCAAAAGCGATAGTGCTTCAACAATAAAGAGTTATAATCAAACAACCAGTCCGATGGTTTTCCAAAACAGTTCTACAAAAGGAAACCAAGAAATACAGAGGCATTGCACATAATAGGTCTACTGTTATTATGGTACAATTTTACAGGAGTACCAAGTTGGAAGAAGTCATTTCCGAGATATCTTCAGTGGGTGATCCAGGAATTCAAAATGGAGGTTTGGTGTGTGGGGGGGTGGCGAGCTGGCAAGGACCACCCCCCCGCCCAAATTTTTTAAAGAAAATGGAAAAAATAAACATACAGTACTATAATTATTATAACCAAAATCAAGTCAGAAATGGAATTTTTGGCTACGCTAACTTTTGATGAATGTTTTGCGTTTTTTTTTTAATGAATAGAATAATTACTCGTCAAGTAATCATTACAGCAAAATTTGGTAGATATTATAGTTGCTTAAAAGTAATATTAGGGCAGTCGAATGGAATGATATATCCTTAAATGCGTTTTTCTCAATGTTCTAACTCAAAAGCCGAATTTCTGCACTATGTTGCTTTCAGCGTCCATCACAGGGGGTGGCGCTAGTGGGGGGGGGAGTCCTTTGCTCCCTGGATCCCCCCAGGGAATTTCCAGCAAAGTCGTTGGGGAAAAACGAAATCTTGACCGCCGAAAGTACAATTTGGGTATGCCTGACTAAGCTGACAAATGTTAGGGATTAAAAACTGTTTAAGTGCGAGCAGTGCTATCTTATGTGTAAGGTGTATACTATCACAATCATATGGGTTGTGATGGTAGCGCTACATCTTCCCCGACACGGGGCTGGTACCTCCGACAAATGGTTAGCACCCCCAACAGACGATATCTTATCTTGCATGGTTTTCTATCAAATTATCCTTTTTAAATAAAGAATACCATAATCAACAAATTTTTCCCCAACCGGGGAGGGGGATGTAGCCTTTGTCGGGGAGCTTGGACCCCCTTGTCGTGGATCTGGACCCCTCGTCGGGGAATTCCTGGCGCCGCCCCAGCCATGGAGAAATTTTCACGGGCGGAGGGTGTACACCTCAGCCCCAACCATGGTTAGGGCTGAGGTAAGAACATTTGTGGTTATAGTACCTAGAGATGGCCGGAAATGGCACTTTCAGACTTAATATAATAAATATAATTTCCTTTTTTCCTACTTTTTTTAATAGGCTAATTGTGAAAACAATAGGGAGTCGGGCCGGCTGGGGCCAAATTGAATACACCACTGAATTGAAATCAGCACAGTAATCAATAATTACGGTACTTCTCTATAAAACGAATAATTGAGGGGCCAACTGACCGTTATTTTCTTCAAAATTAAGTTGGAAATAATTTTTTAATTATTATTTTTAAGTCTATTTATAAATGGGCCCCTATAATAGCCCTGTGCCCCAGTGCTTTGCACTGGCTGCACGGCTACACTGCCTGTAGACGCCACTTGAGCTGATCATCACTGCTATAATCGCGCTCCCCATGTATTTTGGTTGATAAAATGTGTTAGGCTAAAAACCTGGTTAATGGATGAACGATTTTCTTTTTTTTTTTTAATTGAAATAAAAGTTAATGACTGAAATACAAAGTTATAAAATTTATATTATTTTTCAAATGTTTGCTTTTAGCTAGCTATTATGGGTTTACTGGGGCGGATACAGGATTTGGCGGTAGGAGATGAGCGAGTGTCCACCCGCACCATGGTTGGGGCTGAGGTGTGAAAATCCTGAGAATATGGACCGGAAATTGCACTCTCGTACCTTAAAAATCTTACCGGTATTTCGTATCATTAATAATAAGGCCAAATAAAAAATAAAAAAACTTGTTCAGCATCACATCACAATTTTTGGTGGGGAGGGGCGGTTTTTTTTTTTTTTGGTTTTTTTTTTTTTAATTCTACAGTATCAGTAATCAAATAAAATGTGTTAAAATTAATCATTTTGAATAGGCCTACAATAAATATTACACAGTTGGTGAAGTCATTGTTTTAATTCACTTAAAATAGGTCTATACTTATTTTGATTAGAATTTCCTGGATAATATTCATTTCTTTTATTTAAAAAAAAATTCCCGCCTCTAAATTCAGGTGGGGGTGGTGACACGCTAAACAAGTATATATACTGTCTCTTATACATTTTTTTTTTTTGTTTGCCTAATACAACTATTTTTTTTTAAAACAATTTAGGGGATTCCACAAGAATAAAATTACAGAAAAAAGCATAAAATGTATTAGAATCTTATAGATCACAACACAACACAAAACAAGGAAAATTTTCAACAATCCGGCATAAAAAAAAAAAAAAAAAATTTAAATGTT